AATAGGTTAACAAACTCTGAAGCAGTATCATTGTACAAACTGCCTATGCATTTTCTCTACTGTGGCAAAGAACGCCACTAAGAGCATCATTGTTCTTCTCTTGCTTGAGTCAGTTGTTTCATTCAGGGGAACTTCAATATAGTTCCGAGCATCCAGTGAACTCTCAGATAAGACACAACCATGAGGCATAACCAACACGTAGCTATAAATATTTCCTCTCAGCAAACCTGTAAAGTAATCTGACCGTAACAAATTCAAATCCAAGTGTATTTACAACTCAGAATTTCATAATCTGTATTTTTAAATATATATGTTGCATGGCTAAATGTGTGAGGGTTATACCACATTTGTGTAATACATACAAAATATGTTGAAAAGCTTTAAGTAAGTCCAGTTTTGTTACTTCTTATGATTTAAATGTACTTACTAAAGGGCCTAATCATAAATCCTTTAGTAAACAAAATAAGCACTGATTAATTAATCTTCGTGGTTATTTTTATATATTGGGGCCATTTTGTAGGCATATAACTTTTTAGGCTTTTCTCAACATTTATGCATTATCTTATGAGTAGGAACTATTCTTTTAAAATTATTTATATAGAATGCCACAATAGTCGGTGATATACACAGTACATTAATTGTCCCCTCCCTCTGGCGGTACAATTATAAAACATTAATACACATGAAAACATATTTGCCTTAGAATAATTTAAATTAAAACTCAAGAAACTAATACCTTATTAAATGTGGATTTATTTCGAAACACTCTTGACCATTTGTAATCTGTCGATAATTATTTTTGGTGGAAACCCATTTGAGTGACTACATTGAATCTGTTTTAGTTATAATTTTCACTAGATGTGTAACTGAGATCAAAAAGGATATAATATATAAAAACAAGAGTCCCATTACCAAACAAAAATGAATTTAATTTTATACAGAATGTATGGCATAATTTATTCCCTAGGATTGCACAACTTGAAATAGAGAAAAATCACCACTTTGACTCAAGTGTTGAAAACTGTTGGTAGGGTAAAAATGTGATTTTAGATCTATTTGTTAGCAAAAGTTAAAAGAAAATATTAAATACCAAAATACAAAATTAGATACAAATAATGAAAAATATCCAGAGTTTGGTGGATGCGTATCCTTACATCCATTTCTATTCTTGTTTCTTCCTATCTCAAGCCCATTCTACATAGAACTTGGAAAGGGGCTCCTTCCTGTTTTAGTGGCAGACCTTGTAGAATCTATACACTGATAAATGGATATGATGAGAACTCCAGGGAAAGGCTGTTAAAACATGTCTAGGAAAGGCATTGCCTGAATGTGGTTGTATCTGTGTGATCCCACACATTCTTGTTCCAATCTTGTCATTTGCCTGATGATAAACCTGAAATAAGGAGGCGGAAAAGCCAAGAGACTCCAGTAGGACTGGGCAGAAGTCCTGAGGTCCGGTGCCGGAAGATGCCTTAAGTCTGAATAATTTGTTAGGGGAAATTTCCTTTTCTGGTGTGAGTTGGGAATTTCTGTTACTTGAAGCCAAAGACAGCCTGAGGATATTTAATTTCTTCTACTTTTAAAATGTAGATTAAAGAAAAAAATGTATCTTTTCTACCTACTGTTTTTATCTACTTAAAAACTATGAGGCACACTGTATTTCTGAAGCTGATGTTGAATAATAATGTATGCCAACTATAATTATATATACATATAGTCACGGGACATGGAGTAGAGAGTGGGAATGGAGTCAATGGAATTGTAATAGATAAGCATGATATCGGGGGTGGGAGGGCAGTAGATGGGGGAGGGGGTTGTTACTTCATGAGGGTAAAAAGGATAACTATTGCATTGTTCTGTACACCTGAAACTAACAATAAAAAAAATTTATGAGGCATATTTTCCTAATGTAGTACAAGTAAGCTAATTCTAAATCCTCCACATTTGCTAAATTTTACTTCAACAGTTAAATTCAGAACTGTCTTTAAAATAGTCCATTTTTCTTCATGAAGCCTTGATCTGTATTAGCAGTTCTTCTTAATCGTGGTGCCACAATTATAAGAAACTTAAAAAACAAATGCTAGTTCATATAAGAGTTGGTCTTTTAAAACATGAAATATGTGTATCTTCATTTAAAAATGCAAGTTGTTTTCAGTTTACTGCTAAGAGAAGTGATCTTTAAAAAATTAGAAATACTTAAAAATTAAATAGAAATAATTTTCAGACATGTCTTCACTATTCAAAGATTACTTTATTTGATATTTTCAATATGGATTAATAAAAAATATCAAGAACATAAAATGCCAATACTACACCACTTTAAATAAAAAGTTTATTTTTACCAGCCATATGTTTATAACTTAAAAATAAAATGTAAAAAGGCACATTTATTGAATTGGCTGTACACGAAAGCAGGCATCTACACAACAAACTTGGCAATATTTTTGGGGAGAAGGAGAGGAGCATAGAAGCATGAACTCAAGGCATCTGTAAGTACATTAGCAGTTACTGGAATGCATATCAAAAAAAGTGAAGATTCTTCTCATTTAATGAAGGCACTTAGACATAAAAGATTAAATTTTCTAGAAAGGATGAATCTCTACTGCCAACTAGGACAACTTGATATTATCACAAACACATTTAGAATGAGCAAAATTTAAACACATTAATCGAGAAAATCCACAGGATCATATATATTTTGTAAACTGACTCTGTCATTTCTTACGGTAAATATTAAAATAAGCAATTTCTACTAAAATGATAGATTATTGTGCCATGAAGCTAGAGCTACAATTCACCTAGACATCTGATAGTAGCTTTAATTCCTTGTGCACATAAACGAGAATGCAATTCCCTGATATCATTTTGATCATTCATGTGCAAGCATTATGAAATATTGTTCAAATATTTGAACATTTTGATAGGCTGGGTAATCCAGAAAGAGATATCAAAGTTTGACGCACCTACTACACTTCCCAGTCCTATCACCTGGCACTCCTCCTAAAAACTCTCTGCTTTTGAAGTAAATAGTTCTGAACACAGCGATTCAGAGAGCTGATGGAGTTGGCATATGAGGTTCACACATATTTTTATAATCGATCACTATTTACCAAAACACGTTACTAAAAATTGACAAACAAGACACTTTTAAAAGATTCACTATAGTCTTTGGATAAGATACTCTATAGACCTAAGTTTGTTTAGAAAATATTGAAAATATGAAATTCTGAAAGGAACAGAAGACAATAGGGATGAGTTGTATGTGTGCAGGGTAAATATATCTGAAGTGTTCAAAGTGTTTTGAAATACAGCATCAACGTCATCTAAGTAAAAGACTGAAAACTCTGGGTTTAAGAAATAAACTTTGGAATAACCTCAAAACTATACACAACATGAGACTATCAGGAAAAAAGTCTAAACTTTTATCCTTAATATGTACAAAAATCTAAAAAATCCATATAAAACAAACAAAACACAACAACAACAAAAGCACTCCAATTGGAAAATAGACGAAGATCATGAAACATTGGTTCATGAATATGAAAATACAAATGGTCAATAAATACAAGAAATGCTGTTTAACTTTTGTAATAAAAAGTAAAAGTAACCGTGAAATATACATATATATATATATATTATATCTATATAGTATGTTATATAGATATTATATATATATATATATATATATATATTTTTTTTTTTTTTACATATCATGCTGAATCAGCCAACTTAAAAGATTCCTGCTCTCAGGATATATAGAAATGAGCAATCCTGCACACTGATAATGGAAGTATAAATGTCATAAGTTTTCTGGACAGCATTTGGGCAGTATTTATCACAATAATTTTTACATTGCTGTCATTTTAAACATTAACTCCAGTGAATTATGCATTTTCTTAAGAAAATAAATGGCTATATCAGCATACATGAGTTTGCAAGGATGTTTTCCAAGTTGTTTATGACAGAGAAAAAAAAGGAAAAAGGACGGAATGATCGAGAAACCTGTATGTTTATCAAGAGAAAATTTGTTGCATTATGGTTATATAATATTAAGTGAAAGATAAAGGTCATTAAAATCATAAGCAAATAATTATTTGTGGACATGGAATTTGACTATGGCATATTGTCAAGTTAAGAAAGAAATTTCAAACAAGGTTTATAATACGTTTCTATTTTTGTTAAATTTTTATGTGTATATGTATAGGAAAAAATTGTGAAGCTATGTGACAAAGTTTAACAGAGAATCTGTCTGCATAATAGGATTATATGCTGCTATAATTTTTTAAATTGTCCATGATGTTTTTAATTGTCTAGAAGATACTTTTAATTTAGAAAATATGATTAATATACATATAGTTTATACAAAAATAAGCACAAAGAGCTTTGTCTCATTCTTTCATAGCTAAAGTATTGCCAAAAAATTAATATTTCTTTGCACTGGCAATATATGAGGCAGAAGCTTTGACTATATAGGCTACATAAAATAACTAAGCAGAGTAAATAAAGGTTAAAATAGCAACAACAACAAAGCTATTTTCTAGACACCTTTGGTATGAGTGAATCAGAAATGTCAAAGTAATTATTTAAATATAAATAAACAACTCTTGCCTCTATTTTCAAAGTGGGTTTCAAGTGGCACACAGTAGAAGTCAATACAATAGAGCCCTTTAAAAAAGTATACAAATAAACTAAGTAATATAGACCAAAGGCAGGAGAGGAAATATCTGAGAATGGGACTAAAATAAAAATTATGGTAATCAACAGGCTAAGAGACATAAGTTCAATTTATCAGAAAATCAGTTATTGAGCTTCTGATCAATCAAGGCGAAAAGCGAACCTTAATAGGTTACACAGCTCTCCCGGTCTAAGAAAAGGAGACAAGAGTTCATAAAAATAAAGCATGTTTTACGTTTCTGAACCCTGAGACAATATCACTACATGAACTGTATAAAATAGACATCAATTGTTAAGCAGAATTTCTACGTTTTATACACACACACACACACACACACACACACACACACACACCACTTTTATAATATTGGTATCTGATAAAAACTTAAGGCATAATATTAAGCTGTAAAGGTATGAAGAGAATTAAGATTGAACCAACTTTTTGTCACTTGAATTGATACAGGTTTATAATTTAAGGAATGTGGAAGTTAAGGTTTTCCTATTCAGGTCACAATTTTAATAACTAGCAAACACCTGAATTATAGTTAACCAATGAAAAGAATAGCAAAATATTTTTTAAAGCAATTTTGTAGGCAACATTAAAAAACCTCCATCATTAATTTCAGCCATCAGAAAAACAATCATGTCAGGATATATATTTTTTTCTAGTACTTTAAACATTAATTAGAAATGAAATTAGGTATTGAATTTATAATAGCGATTTTGAAAATGTTAGTTTCTTAAAAAAAACTTAGATGAGAAATTAGAAAATTTGTAAAAATAAATTACTTTGCAAGCCTCAGGTAAAAGAACTGTTTTAAGTATATTTTCAACAGAAGAAATTAAAGCTAGTAATATTAAAATAAGAAAGAAAATATGCAATAAACTCAACTGCCTCCCTTCGGTTGGTTCAAACTGTATAACAAAAGTATATAATTATACTTATTACCACGAATAATACATCAAGATCGTCAAAAAAATACAATATTGTAATTAAAAGTTGTGCCTCTGTAAAATGAATCAACCTTCTAGGGTGCATTTATTTTAGCACAAAATTAAAAAAAAAAAAAAAAAAGCTTTGTAGACAAAACCTTTTACCACAACATTTACTAGTCTAAGCAGCCATCGAGTGGGATTTGCACTTGACCTGGGACAGTGAGGCAGAGATCGCTAGCATTCCCCCACCTGCGGAGCCAGGCTGGTGCAGCACGTGCCTCCCTCCTAGGGCCTCTGGGCCAGGGCGATGTTGAGTGGCTTGGAGCCCAAGAGGCGGCCGTTCATCTCAGCCATTGCTTTCGTGGCTTCCTCCGGGGAGGAGAAGCAGATCAAGCCGAACCCTTTGCTTCGTCCTTCTTCCTGCATTACCTTAACCCGGCTAATGGATCCAAAGGAAGAAAACTCCCTCCTTAGTTGCTCGTCATCAATGGTCTCATCCAGGTTCTTAATATAGAGCTTCACCCCCCGGGACCGCTTGTATCGCTCCTGTTTCATCTGCTCGAACTTTTGCTTTAGCTCAGCCTGTCTCTCTGCTTTCTTTTGCGCCCGGCCTACAAAAAGTGGCTGTCCGCTGATGTCCTTCCCGTTCATGTCCTCGACAGCCTTTTGGGCAGCCTCGTGGCTATCAAAACTCACAAAGCCAAAGCCTTTGGATTTTCCACTGGGATCTGTCATCACCTTCACGCTCAGGATGTTGCCATACGGGCTGAAAACGTCCTTCAGCCTCTCGTCATCCATGTCGTCTCCAAAGTTTTTGATGTAAACGTTGGTGAACTCATTGGCTTTGTTCTGGAGCTCGGCCTCCCGGTCTTTGCGGTTTTTGAACCGGCCGACAAACAGCCTACAGTCCTTCAGCAGCGCCCCGTTCATCTCCTCGATGGCCCTGTCCGCGGCCGTCTGGCTCTGAAAGTGCACGAACGCGTAGCCTCTCGACCCTTGATCGTCACTCATCACCTTGGAGGACAGGATCTTCCCAAACGCTGAAAAATGCTCGTAAAGCGTTTTGTTATCGATGGATTTGTCCAGGTTCTTGATGAACACGTTCCCAATCCCAGATTTCCTTAAGTAGGCGTCGCGTTGAGACCACATGAGCCGGATGGACTTGTCCTTTATCATGTCAAAGTTCATGGTGTCCAGGGCCTTCTGGGCATCGGCCAGGTGCAGGAAGTTCACGTAGGCGTAGCCCAGGGAGCGGCGGGTGACCAGGTCCCTGCAGATGCGGATGGACAGCACGGGCCCCACGGCGCTGAACTTCTTGAACAGCAGGTCCTCGGTGGCATCTGCATGGAGGTCACCCACATACAGGGAGGCCTGGCGGTACTTGGCTGCTACATTCATCTCCTTGCGCCTCCTCCTGGGAGCCTGTCCCTAAGGGCTCTTGCAGGGACGGCTGAAGGAGGGTGGCCAGGCCACGGCTGGGGCTGGGCTTTCAAGCGTGGTGGCCCCTGGATCCCCGCTTAGAGCCTGAGCGATGGGGTTCAGGGACAGCACCCCCGGGCTCCAGCAGCACCCTCATCAATAAGGCTCGCAGCAACCAATCCGGCCCTGCCTGGGACCTGGCAACAGGGCTTTGAAATCTCCAAGACAGGCCTCCCCCCCGATGAGCCCTTCCCTCCCAGCCTGTGCCTGCGACAGCTTCGGTGGCAGGCTGGCCCTCAATCTCAGCGTCCTCCACAGACACTCTGCTGGCTGCTTTCTGCATAAAAATAGGCCTCACTCGGGCTGGTTTAGAGTTACAGCCGCCGGGGGGAAGAACTCCACAAGTGGCCTCCGCGGCCGCGGCGGCCCGGGACGCGGAGCGTGGGCGGCGGGCGCGGGGTCCGGGCCAGACCCGCAGCGCAGGGCCGGGTTCTGCGGGCGCCGCGCCGGAGCGCGGCCGAGGCTACGCGGGCTGCGGGCGCCCTGCCGAGCCGCCGCCAGGCTCCCACTGCAGACCCCGCGCGGCCTGGGAACGGCGGCCGGGGGATGGGCAGGCGCACAGACCGACGGACGGACCGACAGACCGACGCGGGGCGGCCCGGCAGGCGGCGCCGGGCAGGGGCTGGGGGCTCACCGGGGCTGCGGCCGGCGGGGGGCGGCGGGAAACCCGGAACTCGCGCGCTGAACTTCCCGCGCACTCGCTGCCAAGTGGGATGTTTTCTTTTTTGATATTTTGTGCGACTGTTTTTTTTCCCTCTTCCCCCGCCTCTCGCACATTTCCCACCCCCCTCAGACAGTTAGGCTGAGGAGCAGGAGGCGGTGACTTGGGTGGAGAAAGGCAGCCGAGGGGAGTGGCCCTAATAACCCACCGCCTGCAGGGCTGAGCTCGGGTCTGGCTGAGGAAGGAGCCTTTCCAAACGTGTGGGTCAGAGCTTGTCACCACCAACTCGCTCCCAACCCTCCAGTGGCTCCCTTAGGCTCTGGGCTGAGCTCCAACAGCCGCACCTTGTCTCCCAAAATTCTGCAGGATTCCTGCCAGGCTCCAGCCTCAACTGCTACTCGGTTCCCCTTACTGAACTCCGAGATCCACTCACCTTCCTTTTTCAGGGCCAACCTGATAAACATGGGATCCTCGGAAACCAGTATAGATGCTTTTTCGAAATGTAAGTTTTCCCTAAGCAACTTCTGCAAGTTCAAGTTTCCCTCTTAGAAATGTACACTATTGTATTCCCGTAGCGTTTGCCTAGTGACCATCTACTGCGCATTCCGTGGCAGTGGGGCCATGCCTGTTTTATTTCCAGGCCTATCTCAGGGTCTCCCAGAAATGGGTTGTTCAGCGTCTATTGAGTGAATCCACTGTGTGGAATAGATGAGGTATGTAACTTGAGGCTGGTTTTCATGCCCAGAGACATGGAGATAAGGTCCTTTATCTCGGAGAGTATTGTAAGAATTCAGTGAATTGATAGATTTGGAAAGGTCTAATAATACATGGCACATAATAGGTTTTGAGCACATTGGTTTCATTTACTCTAGCATTCAATTCCTTAACATCACTCACATAAAACCTTGAAATTTGAATCAAAATGCATCTTAAGGAATATTACCTGCAAAATTGAGTTGGACATATTGGTTTATATAAGGCTAATTTCATGTTTTTCAAACTTTAATCAACATAGGAGTCACCTGGGAACCTTACTTGAAAGCAGACTCTGATTCAGCGTCTTGAAATGGATTGGAAATTCTCCATTTCTAAAAGGCTACTGAGTAGCGCAAACGCAAAGTCCGTTGGTCTCTGAACAACCCTATTAACTTTAAGGCTAAATAAAAGAGCCCCCATTGTGGCATGTTTTCTAAGGTAAGATTAAAAAAAATATATAGTTCTCTTTCAGAAGATAATGAAACTCTAGCAAAATTCATTATTAGTAATACTTAAAAAAACCCCAACTAAACATGGAGCATGATTTTCACTATAAAATCCAAATCCAAATTAATCATAATTAATGTTTTTTTGTTTGTGAAATGTCTTCTGTTATGCATTTCTCTTGTAGGATCATTTGTTCAAATAAATAAATTGAACGATCTTTTCTTCAACCATGTCATCTGGGCTGCAATTTACAAAAAGCAAGAAAGTCCACTGACATAGTTGGTGGATACCATTGATGGATATCAGTAACATTCCGGCACACACTTTAAAATTCAGACACTATCTGGCATCGTTTAAAGTAAATAAAAGTAATCAACAGAGTCAATATTAGCAGATTAAAAATTAATAAAGTTCCTAAGTGTATATTTCCTGAGAATTTTGTCTCAAGGCTTTATTTCTAAGAAAAATGCCTAAGCACATCTTAATTCTTTGCACAATATTCAGCTACAGCAAGATACTAACATATTTCAATAACTCATGGGCTTTTCATTTTACTTAAGTGTGATTAATGTTCACTCAACATTTTATGAAAAGTGAAGAAGAGTTTCCAAATTCAGAATTTAGTCCTATATTCTTGTCTTTAATCAACTTATTGGCAACAGGTACAAACCTCAATTGGTTACGTGACCACCAAACATGCGCCTTCCTATTTACACACTATACTTTATTTTTTTATGTTTAACAAAGTAAGCATTTTTAAACATCTACAATTGTTTCCTCTCTTTAATTCTCTAAATCTCATCTTTTTGTCAGTTGTGTCCATTGAGTAATTTCATGGTTTGGGATGTCGTTTACATTTGCCCTCTGTTTCCAATCCCATCACCACTACTTTTGCCTCATTTCCTTGTGTACTATCACATGAGTTTTATATATTCATCTTCTTCTGTCTATATGCCAGTCCATCTTGAATTCTGCTACCAGAATAATTTTACTAACATTTCTTTCTTAAGATTGATGTAAAAAATAACATATGACTTCTAAAACTTTGGAAAATCAATCCTATCCTAGCTACATACTCGTATATCTTCTCTCAAGCTAATCCTTTATTTGTTTTATATGCACATGCAGTTAATTACTTTAAAAATATCCTTTCCCTATGATTATAAAATTCTATCATCCTTCAGCTCCATTTTCTCCATTATATTTCCTCTTTCAATAGTCCCACTAACGCATTACTTTTCCTTTTTGAAACAACCTGTTTAATATATTCAGATGTACAGGTATCCCCTGCTTTTCAAAAGGTCACTTTACGACACTTCATTTTTACAAAAGACCTACATTAGCACCTGTGTTTACTAACCACAAGAAATCTCAAGAGGATATCTGCTTTAATGTAAAAACAAAAAAAGGCAAAAAACAAAAATAGTGTTTATTTTACGTGTTTCAGGGAATTATTATAGAGACAGCGCCAAGCTCCTTTCTAATCAGCGTCTCAGCATCACGCTGCCATAGCTTTGAACTGTGTCTGTGAGCATCTGTGCTGAGTCTCAATTTATTCTGTGCATCATTTGTTAGCAAGATGTGTCCTAAGAGAATTCCTTCTTCACTTTATGCCATTTTGGCTTCTGATAATGGGGGAGACTTAATTTTGGCATGAGTTTAAGGCTTTGACGGACTTTGACTTAAAATTGATAACTCCTATAATGTTAATTGTCTTAGGTGTTTCTTGGCCAATCGTCATGACTATGTATGTTGCTGACTGGCATGTCTTTTTAATTCCTCAAATGTTCTGAAAATATTTCAATGAATTGCCAATAGTTTGCCTCATTTTAAAATGAGTTGTAATATTGTCCACCTCGTGTTTTTTTGGTTGTTTGTTTTGCTCAATTGCCCTTCAATTTACAAGTTTGTTACATGGGTGACTCACTGCATAAAGGAGGAATACGATGCTTATTAAATGGCAGTGAAAACGTCAGTGTTTCTATTCACCAATATCGATGTCAGCAGGGGTCATTGCTTACCTTGGAATTTATTATGGAGAAATGAAAATGAGAATATATTTAAAAATAGAAATCCATTACACTAGACCAAAGTAGTCTCTGATGCCTACTTAAATCATTGCTCTGATGTAGTCAACTATTAATAAAGTTTTCCTTATTTTTGTTCAAAATGCTATTCATAAAAGGTAATTACATATGTGAAACTTAATTTTACTATATTTTGAAACTGCTATGTTCAATATTTACTCCAACATATCATAATGCATCTTTCGGATTATTAAATTCAATTTATTTGACAATTATGTTTACTTTTCAAGTTGTGATTTTTTAATTCAAATATAGCATTAACTTCTTTAGAATGACATGTATGATTTATACATCACAGTTATCCTTTTCAAACGGAGCAAATAGAAATGTCTTAATAAGTAATGTTTGATTACTTGTAGATTGTGATCAAAAGTTTGATTTGATCCAAAATACCATTTGCCAACAAAAAATATTAGGCATCATAGCAATAAAACTGAATAAGATGCAGCATCTTTCCTCAAAAGTTTCAGGGCTCTTATTAGAAAACATAACCAAAACAACAATTTTAAAACTATATAAAATAAAAAATTATAATATATGACAGAAATTTAGTACAGAAGATATATGAATAATCCTGCCTACATGCATCAAAACAGCAGCGTGCTACTGGCATAAAAACAGACTCATACATCAATGGAACAGAATAGAAACCCAGAAATAAATCCATGCCTACATAACCATTTAATCTATGACAATGGAAGCAAGAATTTACATGGGGTTAAAGACAGTCTGTTTAATAAATGGTGTGGGAAAACTGAATAGATTCCTTCCAAAAAAAAAAAAAGAAACTGGACCACCTTCTTATGCCATATACAAGAATAAACTCAAAATGGGTGAAAGACTTAAATGTAAGACCTGAAACCATAAAACTCTTAGAAGAAAATATAGGAAGTAAATTCACAGACATTACCCTTAGTAATATTTTTACTGATATATTCCTCGGGCAAGGGAAGCAAAAGAAAGAAACATGTGGGATATATCAAACTATAAAGTTGTTTTTGTTTGTTTGTTTGTTTTTCCAAAGCAAAGGAAACAATAAAACAAAAAGACAACTGAATGGGAGAAGGTATTCAACAATGATACATCTGATGAGGGCTTAATACCCAAACTTTATTAAAAAACTCATAAAACTCATCACCAAAAAACCCCCCAAAAAACAGCCCAATTAAAAAATGGGCAGAAACCATGAAGAGACACTTGTCTAAAGTAGACATACAGATGTCCAACAGACATATGAAAAGATGCTCAACATCACTAGTCACCAGAGAAATGCAAATCAAAACCACAATGAAATATCACCTCACTTCTGCCAGAATGGCTATCATCAATAAATCAACAAACAACAAGTGCTGGCGAGAAGGTGGAGAAAAGGGAACCTTCGTGCACTTCTGGTAGGATTGCAGACTGGTGCACTCACTTTGGAAAACAGTGTGGAGGTTCCTCAAAATATTAAAAATAGAACTACCTTATGACCTAGCAAGTACACTCCTGGGTATCTATCCAAAGAAACCCAAAACACTAATTCAAAAAAATATATACACCACTATGTTTATTGCAGCACTATTCCCAATAGCCAAGATATGAAAACAATCGAAATGCCCATCAATAGACAACTGGATAAAGAAACTGTGGTGCATTTATACAATGGAATATTACTCGGCCATAAAGAAGAATGAAATATTACCGTTTTCAACAACATGGATGGACCTAATATCA